TTTGTTCAGGCACTCAATTTAAAGAATATCAGTAACTTTTTTGACAGAGGGATTTTAATTTTACCATGTTGGTAAAAAATAACGGTCAAAATTCAAAGTTATTCATTTTATAGACTATATTCAATATTACTATGTTAACTTTAATTAAAAAAAACTACAAAAACATTTAAGTGAAAGAGTAATGTACTAAGAAGTTTTTGTTATCTGACCATAAATTGCTGAGCATAATTCGAAAAAAATTATTAAATTAATAGTACTCAATAGGTTTGTTCCAACCCGCCGCAGAACCGTCACCGAACGATCACGCTCGTGCGCAGTAATTCAGATGTGTTCCAACCGAGATTTGACGGTTATCGGACGATCCTATTTGCGTACCAACCTACCTTGGGATCGTTTGGTTACGATTTCAGAAAGATAATTTCGGTACATGGTCCAAATTGAGAACTGTTTGGGTTGACTTGGGCATTAAAGCATATTGGCGGGGATTATCGGTTTTTAACAGCCGATTCTGGTCCGGCGTCCGGCTGATACTTCTGTGTTGGTTATTTTTTACGAATTCGAATACGTGTGCGTTATACTTTTGCTTGTGAGTTTGTGTGGAGTAAATCGTTCGTGTAAAACTTGGAAAATAAGTTGGTTATAATAATGGTTTTATAATTCGGAAACTCTCTATTTATTTATCTAGTAATGCTAAAACACTCTATTTTAAAGTCGATTAGAGAAAATAGTGTGATTCATTGGCAAGCGATGTAAATATTTGTGATCGGGTAAAATTATGATGTAAGAGGAGGCATAGCTTGCCTGCGGCAAGTCAGTAGTTGTTAGGCCGGCAGCATAGACAAACAGAAAAATTAAAAGACTGCCAGAAGACATACGACGCGCAGGCAAATGTACCTGTAGCGCATCGACGCAAGTGCCGAAATACGTCCATCTAGCTATCTGTGTTTCGACACTAGTCCGTTAGTCTTGGCATATTCAGAAAGAACACGCTAACCTCCAGTGTTGCCAATTTGTGGGGATTCCCCAAATTTTGGGGAATCCGGAGCCGATTGGGAGTTTTGTGGGGATTTTAGCAATAGGGGGCGAAAATAAGGGGAGTTTCAACATTTTATTGCTGATTGAAAATGGCGTAAAATTTTTAGCTTTAAAAACGGAGCGGGACGATATATCTTTCCCAACTTAAAAATTATAATCTGCTTTTTACTTGTGCTTCCCTTTGCAAATGCTTCAGTTGAAAGAAAATTTAGTGACCTCAAATTATTTAATGACTACTAGGGAAGGGATTAAAAAACAAGGAGGTAATTTACAGTTTAATCTCTCTAACATATATATAATAAATATTGTATTTTTATTAAAATTATTTTTTTTTTGTTAAAATAATCATATGGGGAATTTTTGGTGAATCGGGACATTTTTCTCCCCAAATTGGCGAATTTAATTTAGATTTTTGGGTAGTTTAGAAAATTGACATTGGCAACGCCTCTAACCTCATTCTTTTGTTTGTTGTTTGTTCAAAAAGCGGCACGCGGCGTAGTACAAGGCTTGATCATTTTTTAAGAAATTTTTGATTGTTAATTTTATTTTTCTGCAAACTAAACAGTTGTTTTTTATTAAAAATAGCAGACAAAGGTAAGAAAGGTAATGTCCATGCCTAAGTTTTTATTTCACTGGCTATTCTTTCTAGAAATTATACCATCCAGCCCTCCTAATTAATTATTAAATGAAAGTGTGAAAGAGATATCAAGGGCTATTTTGTTAAAATATCATCCGACCAGTCTAGGCCCTGTTGTGAACCAGAAGGTCTGCTAAGTTGGATGTTGGATATAGAATGGAAGGAATATCATGGCCGAGAACAAGGCATAATTGTATGTCCCTTGATGTAGGGGGGTAGGTTTGTTTCTAATAGGCAGTAAAACCAAAAATTCTACTGTGAATCTTCATATTCTAGACCTGTAAAGGTAAATAATTCCTGGAGCCATCTCGAGGTATAGTACTCAAGTCGGAGCGAATCAATTGATAGCACAATGAAAAGAAATAATAACCATCATAAAACTGTAAATATGTATATAACTAGTACAATGTAGCTATTTAACTGTAAGTACAATGTAGCTAGATATTTAGTAGAATAGGGGTATTATAAATTAATATCAAAATACAATAATTGGTCATTCTTTCCATTCCCATTCAATTCTTCCCATTTAATCGTTTTCCCATAAAAAAAGGAAAATTAAAATTAAGAGTGCCCTTAACCAAAAATAGTGAAATAAATGGAGATAGTCAAATTTTATATTAGCGTGTAAGACTTTGAATAAAAAGGTGTAAAAGGATTATAAATGCTGTATTTATATCCTTTAGTATCATGATAATATAAAAAATTTGAGTAGGTATCTCCATTTATATCACTGTTTTTGGTTAAGGGCACTCTTAGTTTTAATTGCCTTAAAAATAATAAGTATAATAATAATTTAAATCTCCCGCTCTTTCATAGTTCGTACCTGTAGCCAAGTAGAGGGCGCTAAAAGCGCAATCTCCCAACATTTTACCACGCGATTCACCACTCTCTAAACTATTAACTTTCTGTATGGCCGGCAGGCTGTTGTGTTGTGTTTTGTCATAGAGCTGATATTTGGGGGTTGAGAGTCTTTTGACTATAAACGTTGCAAGTACTGTAAGGCAACGGGTCGTTTGACCAGAAGAAAACCTCTTGTGACGTCTTGCCTTCGAGGTTGGTCTTCAGAGTTTGAGGTCTCCCTTGTCTTCTCGATTGACACGATGCGGCGTTGGGGTAGAGAGACTAGTGAGGTACCACAATTAGCTTATTCGATTGGAATGCGAATCTGTTTAGCGGCAGAATTGCGTCCGGGGGAAGCCCCTATACTATTTCAGGTGACGCTAGCTAGTTGTTGAAGATTATTAACCAATAGATCCAAATAATATTTGAATTAGATGGAAGATATGAAATGTGATATATTGAATAGAATGTCAGTGATGTCAGTGGTTAGGGGGAGGAGTACCCCCGGGTGAGTCTTACCATTTGATTATCAATTTTATCCAGATCAGTAAATGTTTGTTTTGTTATTTTCATGTACAATGAGAGAGTGCTTGCCAATGACCAACTAAATGGATATTTGAGGTGAATTTGCATTGTGAGACCCGGTTGAGTAAGCCCCAGAAATAAGCGATTTTACATCCGGAAATTTTACACTTTCATAATTATCTATAGAAAATAATTATAAGGATGAGTGACGATCACTGCTGAAATAACTGGAAACTACGCATAACAGAATCATAAAAGAGAGGATAGGTAAGTGAGTTAGTGAGTATACAATTGAAACAACGCTTACCAACAATTACTGGATTCTGATTCTCCATTTCAAGAATAATAATAATTATTATTTCAAATTGCAAACGTAAATAATAGGGTTATGTTATGAAATTCTAATAGACGCACGCTTGACACAAAACAATCCACAAAGCGTTCCAACGTTGATACTTTTTGCACCGTCACGAAACTATTCGAAGTCCGCGCATGCTAGCAAAGTGCAAGAAAACCGATTCGAGTACGATTTCGAAACGATCCCGAAATGCTGGTTGGAACAAACCTATAATCACTCTGTGAATTAATTCCGATAAAGAGCTCTAAAAGCATTTTCGATTATGGGAAAAACAGGAAAATATATTTTGTACATTATATATTTGCTTAAAATTAATTAAAGTGACCACTTCGCATAATTCCTCTGGATATATTATAATATTTACTGGATTAATAATATTCAATATAACTTTAATTATTATCGCATAAAACAAACAGTCATAAAAAAGTAAATAGATATATCTAATTAAATAAAATAAACATATATGTATTGTTCATGTTATTATGAGTAGTTTGTAGAATTAAACTTTTAATTACGTAATCAAGAAGGCAATTTTTACATTCTTGTTGTCTACCATGGCAACATATTCGGCGTCGGGCTAACTAACTGAAATTTAAATTTTCCGCTGAAGAAAAATATTTTATCCACAATTATACAATAATGGGATATTTATACACGCATATAAAGGTGATACAATATAACCGAAAAAAAACGGCGTCCGCGATAGCTATGAAATGAACATCGCTGTCATTTTATATAGAAAATTTTAAGAGGAATGTGATCGATCCACCGTTTCCAAGCCAACTGGACGCCGTTTTTTCGCTTACACGGTGTTTTATCCACTAGTAATATTCTCTAGACTTTGTAGGCGTAAATTGGTACTTACTCCTTGATTTTCCGCAAAAAATTCTGCACGAATACCATCATAATCTTTTTGCAATTTTTCGTGTTTTTGTTTAAGAAAAAACCTTTGCCAATTCTTACCAAAACAAAACATTGTTAACCTATCAACAAATGCTCTACTTAATTCAACAATTATTATTAACTTAACAATTAATATAAAATAATATATAAATGTTTGACTATGAAGAACATAATATGTTAATATGGAGTATAATATGTTCAACATATATGATTACTAGATTACTTAAATAATACAAGTATTGTAATAATTAATAAAAAATCTTTTAATGTAATAATTTACAATATTTAAAAAATAATCATGACCTACAAAAAAATATCAATTTGTTTGCATTTTTAGCGAGCAATATAATTCAAACATGTTGTAAAAATCACTTAAGTACCGATTTGCAAGGGGATCTCCAAAGGGATCCCCCCTCCCACTACTTTGGAAAAGCGGGAGATATCCGATAGCACCCGTCGGTTCACCCTGCTATCGATTTCCCATTATAAAAAAGAAAAGCGGAAAAGAAAATAAGTTTCCTGCTCGAAGGGAAAATGCAGTCATCAAGCAGTAAGGTGGTTATTTTGAAATAGTGAGTTTTTGGGCTGTTTTCAATCTAAAGTTGTTTTATCTATGACGATTACCTGGACAAAACTCCTTTATTTAGGTCTGAGTCTATTTGTTAAAAATTTTAGAATATAGCTAATTGTAATTGGACTTACTTGAGGCCCGCGATGATTTCCATGGCTCCATTAAAGTTTCCAATGTTCCATGAGGAGAGCGCAACGCGCAGGACGCAGGACAGGACTGCCCGTCTGGCATCGTGGGTTGGTTGGGATATGATCAGCTGAGTTACCCACGCGCTAACCTGAAAAAAAAATTCAACCATAATTTTAAATTTTCAAATTTCATTCAACAGCAATGTCTATGATAGAAGAAAAAAATTGTTATTTTTTTACAATACCGTCGATTAGATTATATTAGATATTTTCAGGTGGTTATAGGCCTGTTTTGCCGCGAAATTTTCAGATCCATTATAACCCTCTACTATTCCATCTTTTTTTCAAAAACGATACACTTGAAGACTGAACTCGCCATGCAGCTCTTTGAGAATACCATATCATAAGCCTACTACCGCTGTTTGAAAGAATTGGGAAGATATGCAACCTGATGGACGAATTCGTGACATGGTTGATTTGATTTCCCCTTGCGTCTCAAGTGCTGTACGGTGGAGACCAATCGTTCTCCGGTTAACGCATAAAACACTTATTTTCTCAAATTCGGTGAGCAAAGGTATATTGAAGACGGTGTGGATTTGAAAGCGACAGTGCCTCCATATTAAAATGTGTAATATCTGTAATACATTTGACGAAAATATCTTTGGATGAAAAATCCGCGTTTATGTATTGAAAATTTATTCGTATTAAACATTGGAATAATCAACAAAAATAAAAATTCTTTTGTAGGTACTGAATATGTCGTATGATCAAAAAAAGTCGTTTAGTTGGCTTGGAAATGACGATTATTGACATTTACCATAATATTTTGTATATAAAATAACAGCGATCTTCATTTCCAAGCCAACTCTGACGCCGTTCTTTGTTTAATCATATAATATTACATTCAATTGTTTAATTATATAAAATCCGTATTATTAACGTACTGTACCCAAAATTCGTAAATCTACGGATCAATCAGTAGTTCTGGCAACACTGTCTCCGGCAACCACTCACTCTGTCGACTGAAAGCAAAACTACGGTACAGTATTCTTTATCCGCTGCGCTGTAAACGACTATCAGCCCGTAGCGGCGCAGAGCTAAACTAAATCTCGGAATTCTTGGACAGGTTGACGTTAACGCCAGCTCCATCTCGGTCAGGTTTTACCAGACTGTAGCATGGAGAATAAATTATTTAGTAATTATAAGGAAATTATAAAGAATCAAAAATTAAAAGGTATATTAGCATTTTTTAACTTAAAAAATAAATAGATTGATGGTTCGTTCCTTATAAAAATAAAAAGGTTTAGGCATTTGGCGTAACAAGGGCGTAACACATTTTCCTTGATGTTTAACATCTTTTATAAAGTCAACATTTCGACAGATACAGAAAGGTACAAATCAACTTCAGAAATCGTTAGAATATAAAACAGAATCAAACATATACGTATAAACACAAACAGCCAAAGATGTGTCTGATTTTTAACCTTGTTTTCCCTATGTTTCTTGTTTCGAATATTTTCAGTTTACTTAAATATTTACCTACGTTATTGATTTCTTACACTTTCTAAAAATTCATACTATGGTTATAAATTGTCAACTACAATATTTAAATTTACAAACGTCATAATTACGAATATATCAGTATAATCTTGTTGTACAGAGTGAGTCAACGAAAGAATAAATTCAATTATTTCATTTGTTTCGATGTTTACAAAAAAAAAACGTTAAATTTAAAAGTTATATGAAAGGTTAATTATTATGGTGAATACAGGATGCTTCAAAAAAGTGTGGTGAATATAACATAATAAAATTAATAGTTTTTGTAATATATAAATGGTTAGATTTCAGTGTGGTAAAAAATTATCATGCCATTGTTTCTGAAGTTGGACCACTAAAATTTGATATGAGGGTAATATAGAGATGAAGGAAAAAAATATGTAAAGATATTTTAGTTAGATGCTACAGGGTGTTCAAAATATGTTTATAAATTTCAACTACTTAAAATTAAAAAATCTCATTTTTTTTTAAAATTACACATCCTATATATTATTATTTTGTCTGATAGATTTGACAAAATTCTTCAAATTTTATAAAATATATCATATACTTATTGTAATATATAATGCAATGTACGATTATATTTTTTCCTTTAAGAATTTTATTCGCTAAATCAGAACCAATAAAAAACAAATTAAAAAGGAATTGTAAAAGTTACATGCTGTCTTTTACAAACTCTAAATGCCGAATGGTGTAAGAAATTGATTGAAGTATCACTAAAGAAACCTATAAAATTCTCATAAAGTGTCGGAAGTCCAATCTTGACATTTTACCAGTTTACAAAATATTCAGCTACAAAGTCAACATAAACATTCGATCGATATACTCTTTGTATCTATTCAGCTTTAAACTTTTGATTGTCAGTATAAAGTTAAAAAAATATTTTATTTTTATTAAGTTCACGGAACACTTCCCATATCAAATACATAGGCCAATGACTAAAGAGTACAAGGATACGTAACGCAGAATTTGTGTTGTTAGACGCCATTTTTTTGGAGACAACGGATGTGTCACCAGCGACAATTTTAGCGATTTTTAGTAGTTTATTGTATGTAGGGAACTTTGTAAACATTTTATTACAATGGTGACTTGTTCAGCTTTCAAGTGTAAAAGTTGCAACGATAAGAAAGCGCCAGGAGTTACATTTTATACGTAAATAAACAGCCCAATCCACCTTTTTAGCGTTTTCTTATTGAGTTTGATAATTATTTTTCTGATATTATCTGTACTTGACATTATACTTGTACGTCGATACTAGCTGTGTACCTTTAGTTAACATTTTAAAACGTTTTTTTTTATAATAAATAAGCAGCATACACCACAGGTGTAGTCAAAACATTTATGCAAAATATAAATATCTCTTCAAACAGCTAAGTTAAAAAAATATGTGACGGCACTGTTTGGAGACATGGTAACAATGTGGTCTCGGTTGTTATTGGTCTTTGTATTGTATTCTGTATTCCTCTTCTAATTTGTCAGATAGACACTGCTGACATTTTTTTGAAAAAATATAAAGTGATTGGACTATTTTACTAAAACTATTGCTCTTTTTGTGTACGTCCATCCTAAAACTTAATAAATATAGATTAATTTTATTTGATTTTCATCAATAAGTAATCAAAAGCTTCTCAGTGTGTATTTCTGTAACCTACGCATTGCGTGTAGGCGTACGTCAATTCCATATTTAATATAGTATTGTGCCCGTAATGCTTTGTTTCTTTCGTAAATAACTTCTAATCGATTTCATTCACTTTTCCTGGAAATGCTTCTCGGTTATTTGCTAGAATGACAGTTTTTTAATGTTCTTAGTGCGTGATGAATACCAAATATATATTTAATTACGATGATTTGTCGGAATAATAAAGCAAATGTCATTAGTGTTTAATTTCTCCCTTATGGGTTCAGAGGATCATCTCTCGAATGGTTTAAGTCGTATCTGAGCAACAGAAGTCAACTTGTGAGGGTGGATACCACGTTGTCTTCTAGCAAGCCAGTAGAATGTGGAGTACCACAAGGCTCAGTACTAGGCCCTATTTTGTTTCTTCTTTTTATTAACGACATTGCTAACATAAACATCAGTGGCAAAATATATCTTTTTGCGGACGACACTAGCTTCACTTGGAGCAACAAGGACATCATGGCACTTCATAGGATTATATCAACTTCATCACCATTAAATCTTGGTGCGATTCGAACCTCCTGAGTCTCAACATTTCTAAAACTAAAGCTTTGTCGTATAAAAACTCGTTGCAGCCTTTTGTACTTAACAACACCACCATTGACGTCGTAAAATCCGTAAAATTCTTAGGGCTTGTTGTGGACAATTCTCTGAAATGGGACATACATATCGAAGCTTTGTCGAAAAAATTGAGCTCTGCCTGTTTTGCATTAAGGTCTGTTTCTAAGGAGCTTAACTTGTCAGTGGCTAGAACTGTTTATTATGCACTTTTTGAGTCGCACCTCAGGTATGCCCTTCCATTCTGGGGTACGTGTTGTGCGGCTCAATTTGACCGCATTTTCAAGCTCCAGAAGAGAGCTGTTCGATATTCACTGGGACTAAACAGCAGAACTCATTGCCGGGGCTTTTTTAGAGAATTAAAAATATTGACTCTTCCTTCCTTATTTATATTTGAATCCGTTTGCCTAATACGTAAACATGTATCAGCTTCTCAAGAAAGGCCATCTCACACTTATCCACTCAGGAACGCGGAGCAAGATCTTTATCTACCTACCCCACGCTCAGAGTTAGTTAAAAGTTCAATATTATACAACTCGAAAAAAATGCACAATCACCTGCCATTTGAAATCAAATCCATAACATCATTTTTTTCATTTCGCAAAGCATTGAACTCTTATTTACTAGACAAGGCTTTCTACGCCGTAAATGAATTATATTTGAATTGAAAATCGAATTTGATCTTGAAAACACTGGTCTAATGTTTGCTATTCCTATATTTACTAATGACATCGAAATTAATTTATTTAGAGGTCATTGATATTTTGCTATAAAGTGGCTAAATATTTTTGAATATTATTTTAATTTTTTTTGTTCTTTGACATTGTAAACATTTATAAATGTTTATTTTAACAATAAGACTGACATTATTATTTGTATAATGTTTTGTATTATCTTTTGTTTGTTTGTTTGTGTACCTTGTTTTTTTACTTTGTTTGTTAGTTTACCTTTGTCTACAAATTGAAAAATTTTTTGACAATAAAGGCATTTTATTTATTTATTTATTTATATTTATAAAATCTGTTAAATTAATACTTTTTTATTACTGTATTATATACCTCGTTGCCTTTTTTCTTTGTCATTCTGTTTCTTTTTTAATGCAATTTTTGGTTTTTAAAAGAAAAAATTAACAGTTATTTTTTATACAAGACGATAAAATTGCATTTTATCGTCGACCGAGAAGATTAACTCATGAGCGATGAAATCGCGAGTGAATTATGTAATAGAGACGATAATGTAATTTTATCGTCGTGTATAAAACAATATTTTTTTCCATAGCAAGTTAAGTTCTAAAAAATATTCAAAAATTATTATTTCAAGGAATTTATTACGAGTAGAAAAAATATTGTGCTGGGT